ACATGGTGGATGCAGAAGAATCAGACATAGATGATGATGAAGGCAATGAAGAGACAGCTGAAGAATGATCAGTAGCGAACTGGTTAGTCAAGGAGGAAGACGACCTGATGAGCGGAGTAGAAGGAGTAGCACAGTGATCACTAATACGAGGATTAGGATTACAGAGTGGAGGTGGCAATGGAATCAACTGATGGCCAGATTCAGTGACATCGGAAGGAGCTACAATAGGAGCAATACTATCAAGAACAAACGACAACCAATCATTCAAAATTTTTGAAACATGAGACTGGGAAAAAGCCTGCGAAGTTTTTTTAAACGGAAAGATGGCTTCATAAAAAATAACATGCCGTGAAATCAAAAACTTTTTTGCTGACGGGATCAAAACATTTATACCCTTTGTATTTCTCACTATAACCTGCAAAGACACACAAAGTAGATTTTGGATCAAATTTATGATGTTTGTTATCCCAATTATATGGAAAACATTTAGAGCCAAAAACTCGTAAAGAAGAGTAGTCCGGATGAGTTTGATAGAGTTGAAAGTAAGGTGTCGAAAACTCAATAGCAGAAGATGGTAGGCGGTTGATTAAGTAGACAGCCGTGGTGAAAGCTTCAATCCACAGATAAAGAGGAGTATGACTATGAAACATCATAGTCATGCCAAGTTCGCGAATGATACGATGTCTTCGTTCAACAGTGCCTGTCTGTTCTGGAGTATATGGACATGAGACTTGATGAATTGTGCCTGTTGACAAAAAATGAGATGACAGTTGATTATTGATGAATTCTCCTCCTCCAACAGAGTGAAAAATTTTAACACATTTATTAAATTGAGTAGCAACGTATTTTTCAAAGGCAAGATAGGCAGAAAAAAAAATCAGATTTATTTTTTAGAGGAATAATCCAAGTAACTTTGAAAAGTCATCAACTAAACAAGCATAATAACGAAATCCACCAATAGATAAAACAGGGGCAGGACCCCAGAGATCACAATGTATTTTATCGAAGATAGCATTTGACTTGTTCTGAGAAGACGAAAACGGAAGTTTACTAATTTTGCCTAGTTGACAACTGTCACATATATGCCCTAAATCTACCGGACCATTAACACTAATGAGTCCTTTATTTTGCAAACATTGAATTGCAGATCCTTGTGGATGCCCTAATCGTTGATGCCAAAGTATTGAGCTGCTAGATCTAAAACGATATGAGGAATAAGCTTCTGGATGACTAGAAATAGTATAGAGATCACCCTTCCTTTGTCCCTTCATTATTGGCTGGCCTGTTTTCCGATCCTTTATCAAAAAAATAGAGTCAGAAAATTCACAATTAACCGGTGACTGAGAGGTTAACTGACTAATGGATAAAAGATTTTTCTTTAAATCAGGAACAAACAAAACTTGTGGTAAAGGTAAAACTTTATTATTTTGTCTAATGGCCGAATCGCCAACACCTGTGATCAGAATAGAGGAGCCATCACCAATTACTACTGAATCAATTCCGTGATAAGTATGAACATTATTAATCATACCTTTGTTACCTGTCATGTGATGGGTAGCAGCAGAATCTGATGACCACTCGTGATCAACAACCGAGTTATCTAAAGTTAGGGCTGCAAGAGCATGGGGAAGACTGGAATTTGAAGAAGATTGATGCTGACCTTTTGGAACCCACCAACAGATCTTAGCAATGTGTCAGGTTTGCCACAAAACTGACAGACTGCATCTCTATACATCTCTCTTTCAGCGTTTGTCATGCGGCGTTCTCTCGGAGGTGCTGGTTTGCGCGGTTGCGGAGTGTGGTATTGTTGGGGCACACCATGATTTGGAACTCTAGAGAAGGGGTGCGTTTGCTGAGCCTAAAAACCTCTCCCCTGCGAGGAAAAATTATTGTTTCGAGTTGAAAAAGATTGTGAAGAATTAGATTTCTGACCATAAAACACCAAGTGAGGGACATGAGTTGCGAAGGATAGATCTGTTTGATGGGAAAACCAACTTCAACGCTGATCAAGGTTCTGCAATTGAGAGATCAATTCTGAGTATGATGGACGTGGAGGTTTCAGCATTGTAGTCGTGAAAGCTTCATAATGAGGCCCGAGACTATTAAGCAAACAATACACTTTTTCTTGTTCATGAACCGGCTTCCCTATAGCCGCAAGACTATCACATAAGCCCTTGAAGGCTTTGATGTGTTCTACCAATGTTTTGCCATCATCTTTACGAAGATAGGTAAGTTGCTGACGAAGTGTAAACTCCCTCTCTTGTGAATCTCGCGCATACTCATCCTTCAAGGCATTCCAGACGGTATAAGCTGTGTCAAGACCAATCACAATACCAAGGGATTCTTCAGACAATGTTCCGATGATCCAACCTCTAAGAAGACGATCGGATTGCTGCCAATTAGTAAACTGTTTAACTGATTCCGCCGTGACTTTTTCTTTGTTAGAGGCAGAAGTGTTAGGATCTGATTGCGGTGGATTTGTGAGATGAATGATAAGTTCTTGACTTTCAGCCAATGCAAGAACTTGTTCTCTCCACAACGGGTAATTCGTTTGTGAGAGTTTGAGTGTAACAAAATTGCTGACATTGAACGACAATGAAGTGTTTGATTGAGACATAATTTGAATGATAAATAGAGACAGGCGAACCTGCTCTGATACCAAGAGGGAAAAAAATTGGAAGACTAAGAACCATAATTGTGATCGAAAGAAAACGGAGAGAGGATGCTGTGAATTGAAGAACTAGATTTCACCCTTTCTGTTTATGCACTTTTTTTTTCACTAATAATTCAGTACAAGGCTACCTAATTTTATAAGCTAATTCAATACAACATAATTGATAAAAGATAAGACAAGATCGCAGCTTCTTTAATGATGATGATCAACTTTCTCTTGTGATGATGATTGACTTCTTTTTGCTGATTAGAAGGAACCGAAAGTCTTGCTGCATATTTATTAAAAACGTGTGACTAAACAGAAGTGTACTAAAGGCAATTACCACAAGACCTACTTGATCCCAACTACATTCCCTTCTTCGTGCTGATGAGTTCATACTTCCTTATTACTCCTAACACCCTTATCACTTCCTGTACTCGAAGAATTACTGTTTGAGTAAAATGTTGACTCATTATTTTTATCAGAAGTGTGTGGTCCATCCCTTGCGCTGAAACACCTGGAGATTACGAGCTGTTTTGCGATTTCCCTGATTGTATCTGACATACAAAATCTTGTTTCGCTTAGAGCTACTGAACTTCCAGGTAAATGTCTGGTGATCAGGAATGCTCCACGCCTTGTGGATGTAAACATTGGCGAATTCGATCTCAGTTTCTACGGCCTTGTTTATACCTGCTGCTCTCCGCCGAAATTGGAGGTTCTTACCTTAGATTTTGGTTATACGTAATAGATATTGGAGATAGAAAAGTGACAATTCCCGAATTAACTCAACTGAAGCTACTAAATATTGTTTTTTTGGGAATAGAAGACCAGAGCTTGATTGAGGAGTTGAGTTCTTTGATAAGTGCATCCCCTAACTTGGAGAAGTTTGTGCTACAAGTATGTTGTTTTCAGTCCACATACAGTACGGTGTTTTATTCCCTCCGGTCCTTAATATAAGGCATTTTGACTTGTTCTAGGTTTCACTTAATACGCATTTTTAATTGACCAAAAAAAAACTTGAAAAATATATTTTTCACATTTGTTGTGTTCTCTTGATTGTTATGAAATATTTTTAAGATTTTTTAGTCAATTCAAAATACGTGTTTGGTGAAATTTAAGACACATCAAAATGTTTTATATTAAAGACCAAAAGGAGTACATCTGAGGGCCTCTTTACTTGTTGTATGCCTTGCTATTATTATTAATTATTATGGACTTTCGAATCTTGAAGTGAAGTTGTGTTGTTTGGCTATTGAATTCGTTGATGATGAAGAAACTTATACTACTTGCTCACCATATTTATATGCAAATGATTGTTAAGAGATTAGTGACTCTTGTTTTTGTAAATGCATGTTTTGCGATTCTTGCATTAATACAGTTGCTCAGGTTTTTTTTTTTGTTAGTGTGTTGATCAACCAGAAGATCCCAAGAAACAGAGGAATTCTATGACGGGGAAGGAGATTCCTCTGCAACATCTTAAAGTTGTGGAATTCTGGGGATACGCTGGACGTGTGGCCGAGGTGGAACTAGTTGAGTATTTCGTTAAAAATGTTGTTGCCTTAGAGAGAATTGTCATTGACCCTCGTAATTAGCATAGTATGCATGACAGTGATGATGATCCGGAGGAGGAGGATGCCTTAATCTACAGAAATCTTGCCAAGGAACAGCTCCAGGGCATACTACCTTCACATGTGGAATTCGCGCTTCTTTAGGTTGGTAAAGAAAAAGAAGAAGAAGAAGAAGAAGCAACCAACTTTGGGCGTCTTCGGATTGTCATTCTTGTAATCAATATACTTCCTACTTTCATTTTACAAGTAACTTATAGTCAGGTTTTAAGTTTCTCAAACCATTTTGCCACGTTCAATGGAAATTTGGAATATATATCGTTGTGTGTAATATAGTTTCACGAAATTAGTCCTTAAGGAAAAGGGAGGTTTAAAGTCAGTATAAAACAAAAAAATAGTATAATCTGGCCTTGTTAAAAATGCTACCGCAAAAACTATGCAGGAAATCCTTTCGAAGAACTAAGAAGGATGATCATCAAGAAAACTATTGGCGTGTTGGCATCTCAAATTCATGTTAAGATTATCGGGTCGCAAGACATTTGAGGCATCGTTGTTTGAGGGTGACTGCATCATCAACGGCGCAGCTGAATCAGGTTCATATGATCAACGGGAACAAAGTTAAAGGCATTTGTATTGATGGGGGTATCATCAATGATACTAACCAGACTTCTTGATCAAATTCATGTTAAGATTATCGGGTCAAAAGAGATTATGTACTGTTCAAATTAATTAACATGTTGAGCTCTGATTGAAACAAATTTGAACAAGACTCTCCTTATAAGTCACAGCTTCAACACCTTGCCTCTAACAATACCATATCTCTTCATCACTTTGGGGATATCTGATTTAGCCTCTCGTATATCCAATGATGTTAACTCTTCATTAATATATACGCTGCTACTGTCGTCAATATTTGTACTGCAAAACATGAGTTTCTCATTATTCCACCAACCCACACTCTTGCAGGGTATGTCAAATGGTTCAATGTCATATTTCTTCATCCATGATGAATCAATCCCGTATTCCATCATCGTCCATATCGTGATGAATTCCTTTGTCTTCATACCTCCGTCATTCTCTCTATACATTTCGCCCGTTTCGACAATCACAGCGAGAAACCCATCTAAGACATCAACCCAAAGCCTAAAAGATGTCGGATCATCATATTAATGCGGAGATTTCATCCCACAAACTACCTCAAGGCCCGTGTCGAAAGAAACAATCTCGCCATAGTTAGAGAGCCAATGATATGACCCATTGAAGAACACACCATCACCGTGCATTTCGATTGCCAGGCCATAGCTGGTAGTTGTTCGTCTCCAAGAATTAGAGCTGAAATCGTAGTGATCAATTAGGCATGATGAGTCATCATTTGGATGGTCCATGAAATCATCTAGCTTTGGTACCGATAAGCAAACAACCTTATACGCATTAGAATGGGAATCAAACCCAAACCTGACGTTCCCATACCAGAATATAAATCTTTCAGGATACTTGTAGTGGCGGGAAGGAAGAACCGCCGTTTCCCGAGTAGCTAGATTCCACAAATACATGTATTCGCATTCGCGAGACACGCAAACAATGCCGTTGCAAGAGCGAGAAATCGATAGGTAACTTTTAATATCTTGTAAAAAACCAGGAGCAATCTTGTGGAGTGATTCATTATTATGATGATCAAAAGAATGAAACTGAAACACAACGTAGTATGGGTTGCGGATGTCCTTGAATTGGAATATGGGGTCATCTGGGGTGCCTCAATTGGTAATCTTGAGGAGGATATTTTCTTGTTGATTCCTTGGATGGTTGGAATGTATGTCAATGAAGTACGGACTCCTTATCAAGCCATTCCAATGTTTACAGACGCATCGGAATTTCATCAAGCATTTTACGGGGTGCTTTGGATAAAAAATTGTCTAGAAAAAGGAGTAAATAGATCTATTGGTCTCTTTTTTTTATAAAGAAAAATATGAAGATCGGATTTACAAAATCCAACCTACTAATTAAATTTGTAAATCGGATTTTGTAAATCTGGTCTAATAAAATAATATATATATATATTTGAAAAATACACGTGAAAAAAATTAAAATAACGGTCAAATATAGGCGAGAGATTTGAAAATTATGAACAGTACATGGTTAGATTCCTGAAGTCCGACCTTATTTAAGCATACCAACCGGTAGATATTTGCATTCAATGGAGGGAATTGGCGGACAAAAGGTCGAAGTTAATAAACCCGAGTTTAGTTGTAGGTCGGATTTTCGAAATCCAACTTTACTTATAAACTCGAATATCACAAATCCGACCTTTATGTGAATAATGGGAAACGAAAAACACTATTCACATATCGGGATTCTTCATTTCTCTTGAAGGATGAGGTGATTTTGGTGGTGATTTGAAGATTTTGTTCACGATTCTTCACAACGGATGTCTTAAATCCATTTCAAGAAGGTTAGTTATTGTTTTTTTGTTTTTAGATTATTGTTGTTGTTTTTTTTCGTAGAAGCGTAGAACTAGGAATGTTTATATGATTTTAGGGTTGATGTTGGGTTTAGTTGGTGATTATTGTTATTGTATACGTGGTATTGAATGTTTCATTTAGTAAAATGTTTGAATTTGCCCTCAACTTTTGAATTTATAGGGGGTTTAGTAAATTTAGGTGTTGACTGTACCTTGTTTGTGATATTTGTTATAATAATTTGTTTGATTATGCCTTGTTTTGGTATTTTTGGTAGTAATTTATTAATTTGTTCACAAATGTGCTTTAATTCATGTAATCAACAGATATAAATGGTGTTTAACGGTCCATATTTCATTAATCACTATTGATCGAGCAAATTTGTTGTGAAGAATGGGATTGTGAATACTTTTAACAACTTGCCTGACGATTCCATTGTGATTGATCATAAGGTATCATTCTATGATTTGGTTGGATTGATTTGTGAAAGAGCTGGGTGGAATAGAGGGAATGTGAATTCAAGTCTCTCAATTTTGTATGATATGATGGGCAATGGTTTTAGGCGTATCGCCAAAATCAAGGACGATGCATCGTTGCAAGTCTTGTATTTCCTTCCAAATTTGACATATATTGATTTGTATGTGGATTTGGAGGTGGCGGGTACTTCTAGGTCTCATTTAGAAGTAGGGACAAGTAGTGGAGGGTTGAATATGGAGAATGTCGATTATATGGAAGATGATGATATCGGTTACCGAATATGCAGGATAGCGATCACATGGAAAATGATCACGTGGAAGATGATGAATTCGACGATGAGGACTACACATCAATAAGTGAACAAAGCAATGAAGACCAATCAATATCCGAAGGGAGTCAGGAGAGTGATGAAGAGGTTGAAAACAAATTTGTCACAAATGACAGGCACATATATCGTTCACAGGGTAAATGGGATCGTACAAAAGTGGACAAGGATGAATTTCAGCTTACTATGTGGGATTGGACAACTGTAACAATCGGGAAAGGGACGTGTTTTAAGAATAAGATCGATGCAAAAAATGGTATAGGAGCGTGGAACATAGAGCAAAAAAGAGAGTATTATGTGAAGGAAAGTGACGGCAATACATGGTATATTTGGTGCAAATCTCTAAAAGAGTCAACCCCTAAGGGTTATGTTCCTTGTCGTTGGAAGGTACGTGCCTCCTTGAAAGACCATGGTTTGTGGGAGATTGTGACATGGGTGTCCGAACACAATTGTATGAATACCACCGCGGAAAACAATAATCGAAATGTGAGCGCAACACTTATTGCTCATCTCATAAGGAATAAGGTTGAGTTGGACCCGGATTATAAAGTGAAGCTCATCCGGGAAGAAGTGAAAGAACGTATACATGTCGATATTCCTTATCACAGGGCATGGGAGGGAAGGAGATAAGCTATTGATCTTGTTTACGACGACTGGGTTTCCAATTTTGACATACTTTCAAGATATTTACTTAAGTCCTATCTAATTTATTTGATTTGTTTGTAATTTTCTTTTAAAATAAGCATTAATTTATTTTCTTAAATTTAGGTTTTTCGCCGCCCTTGTGAAGAGCAACCCTGGCACAGTTGTAGAGTGGGAATGGCAACCTGGTTGGACCAATACAGAAAGGACGTTCAAATACATTTTTTGGGCATTCAAGCCTGCAATTGGTTGTTTTGCCAAATGTCCTCCAGTGATTAGTATCAACGGGATGCACTTGCGTGGCGGATACAAAGGGAAGTTTCTCGCTGCAATGGTCAAAACTGCGAATAAGTGCATCCTGCCAATTGCATATGCGATCGTGGATGGAGAGAGTGAGGGAAGTTGGACATTCTTCTTGAAGTATTTGAGGAATCATGTTATAAACAACCGTCCTGTGTGTGTTATATCCGACCGGCACAAGGGTATCATCAATGCAATAAGTCTAATGCCTAAATGGAATGCATATCACCGGTTTTGCCTTCGTCACGTCCGGAGTAACTTGGTGGCTTGGCTTCGAAGTAGAAAGATCAAGAGGTCTTGTTGGGACATGGGCTCAAAACTTTCAAAGACTAAATTCAAAAAACTAAGGCAAGAGTTATGTGACTTTGATAATGAAGCATATTTGTATCTCGAGGAGATTGATGCTTGCCAGTGGATGCTTGCAAAAGACAAACACTATCGTTGGGGTAACTAGACAGCTAACATTTCAGAGAGTTACAACAACGTGCTCAAGGGTGTTCGTTTCCTGCCGACCCGAGCTTTGGTGGAAGCAACGTTTTTTAAGACTGTGGATTTGTTCCAAGAAGAATACGTAGTGTTGAGGAAATGCATTACACTCTTCCCAACCGACTTGTGGGAAGACTTCTTGAAAAAAGAGAACAAAGCCACGCATCACAAAGTCAAGTGTTACGCTGTGGTTAATGGGAAGTTCAAAGTGAAAAGTAAAAGCCGACTTGGTAATAAAGGTGGCAATGAGTACACTGTGAAATATGAAGAGAATAAGTGCTCGTGCAAAAAGTGGCAGGAGTATAGGATGCCTTGTTAACATGCACTAGCCGTGTGTCGGAAGATAAATAATCAACCAATCAATACGGTGGATCCACATTTTAGGGTTGTTGCTTGGCAAGACTAATTCAGTGGGCACGATGACTTTAGCCCGATCCCTGATAAGAGAAAATGGCCTAAGATTGGATGGAGACTCATTCCTAACTACAGCGAGTTATTATGCATGCTGGGCCCGGTCGTTGGCAAAAAAAGAGATTTAAAATGCAAATGGATTATAGGGGACGCAAATCGAGGGGTGAATGTTTGAGATGTGGCTCAAGGAATCATTTCGCATCTGCGTGTCCCAAATCACACAAAAAATCCGATAGGACAAGGCTCGCGATCAATTGAGACGCCGATGGTATTCACAACGACTAGGAATTGTTTGTTTCAATAGTTGTTTATGTCTCAAAACAATGTTTAATGTTTCAATTGTAATTTATGCTTTAGTTCGTTTGAAATGTAGTTTATGCTTAATGTAATAGTCTGTCGAATGAACAAGTTATTGTTGTTGTGGAATGGACCAATAGAGAGATCAAATGTTGTAATTGATGTTAGTACTTATTGAAAAAGGATAGGGGAAATAATTATTCAAGTGTATCTTAGGTTTTAGTGTATAAGTCGGACTCAGAAAATCCGATTTAGGAAGAAAATCAGATTTTAAATATCTGAATTAAAGAATTATGGTGAAAATCGGATTCAAAATGAAGGTCGGATTTTGGTGAAACTTTGGAGCCAATTACCCAAAGCTCTCTATCCAAGGTCGGATTTTTAAATTCCGACCTTGTTCTTTTAAGAAGGAGGTCGGATTTTATAATTCCGACCTTCGGGGAGTATATAAATGTTTGACCAAATATTGGGGGAGTCAAAATCGACTCCCCCTTCTTCTCCAACCCTAATCCGGCGACCCACCACTGCTACCCCTCAAATCCGGCGACTTCCACTCCCTCCGCCGAGTCATCTGCAACTCCCCCGCACCCCCCTCCCCCCCCGTCTCCGGCGAGTCTCCCTGGCACTCCACCCGTCCCCGGCGAGTCACCTGCAACTCCCCGCACTCCCCCCGTCTCTGGTGACCTTCTCCGGCGGGTCCCCTGCACTCCCCTAGCACCAGCGAGTCTCCCTGCACTCCCCCAGCACAGGCGACCTTCCCCGGCGTAGAGGTAATTGTTCACTTCTTTTCTTTCTTTTTTCTTTTCTTTTTTCCAGGGATGATTGTTAATATTCTCTGGGAGTGTAGTATGTGACTATGTGTAGTGAGTCATGGATAATGAGGGATGATTGTTTTTGATAGAAACAGAGCCTAAGTATTTGATGGATGACTATGTTGTTGTTGTTGTTTTTGATGGTGTAACGATGATGATGATGATGATGATGTCGTATGATGCTTTGATCTATTGAGTTTGTACATTTGGAATGCTAAATTTGCTAAATTCAGTTTGTCATTTAGTCTTTATGATATGTTGATGGAAGTGATATTTTGCAATGATTTGTTATTTGTATTGAAGTTGTTATTTGTATGAGTGCTAGGGTTTGGGAGAATGCTGAATTGATGGTATCTCAATCTCTGTTTATGAATGCTTAGTTAATTATAAATGTGAATTATTGTAGGATTAAAAAATGGAGAGTTCGAGCTTCTCGCATCCTAGAATGCAACATTTTAATCCGGCTCCAATAGTTGATGATTTGTTATACCTTTATAATGATCATACGGCGAAAGCCGTGTTCGAGGACCATAAGGGGTTCGATGAAGCCCTTAAAGGTAGAAGATTTGATGGCAAATTTGGGCTGCTTTTAAAGAATGAAAACAATAATTGCCCTCAACAAGTTATAGTGGAGATAGACCGGGCAGGTTTTTTTGGGGGGGGGGGTGATTCGAATAGGTTATATTCAAGCCGACAATTGTTTGATCACCGCATTGGTTAAGAGGTGGCGGCCTGAAACCCATACCTTTCATTTTCATTTTGGCGAGGCCACTATCACTCTAAAAGATGGTGAGGTGTTATTTGGTCTGTGAGTGGATGGTATACCTGTAGAGGGGATGACACCTGAGAAGACTAGGACACAATGTGCTTTAGGTTGTTGGGATTTACACCCGCTCATAACATGTTTGATGGGAATAAGATTTATGGAGAGTGTTTAGTTGCTGAGTGTGATCTCCCGATCCCAGAAAATGCTCCAGTAGAGGCCTATACAAAGAGGGATTGTGCCTTAATGTTACTACTACTTGGCTCTTTCTTGATTCCTTTCAATACTGGAAACAGAATACCGCTCTGGATCTTGTGTCTTCTAGAGGATTTGGATGTTTGTGCTACCTATAGTTGGGGGGTCAGCAGTGTTGGCGAGATTGTACTTTGGTTTGTGTCAGGCTTCTGCGCCCGAGAAGAATGACATTACCGGATGCTATATACTGATGCATGTAATTTTTTTTGTTTTTTTATTTATTTATATTTTTTATTATATTTTTATTTGTTATTCTAATTTATCCCTTTTCTTTTGATTTATAATTTCAAATATGGGCTTGATAGCGTATCCCAAGAATTCAACTGAAGAGGAAAGTTAAAGACTAAAGTTACTTGACGCTGGACACTCCACTGGCCAATAGGTAATTATTGATCTATTTTATTATTATTTCTTATTTATTATTTCCTCTTATGTGTACTTTGGTTTTTTAGATTTAAATTTAATTAATCTAACTAGAATTCCGTTCCTTCATAAGTGGAAATGCCCAAAATCCAAATCGAAGGTCGTCGCTCATTGTGTTGCTGGCTTCAGGGATCAGTTATCTAGCCTAAGGGATGGTGATGTAAGTATTCATTTTTATTACTTGATAAAAATTCCTTCTTATTTTTTTCCTATATTTTTTACCATTTTTTTCTTCACATCTATATATTTTTAATAATTATTTCAATTTTGGCCATTTTCTGTGGACTCCGTACACTCTCTTCATCGACGCTCTTTCTGATTTCTGTACGGGGACTCATATCTACCTCTGCAGGAGGTGGATCTTTTGTTGGGCCGTTAGAGAACCATACGAGCCCAATCGGGTCCTTCGTCAGTTTCGGTGTAAGCAAGCTAGGCCAGAGGCACCGTTAATCCGTGATAGTGATCGCTGGAAAGCAATACACCATGGGGGCCTAGCGACTGGAAAGGCATATGATAATTGGGTGCTAAAACATAGCGAGGTACAACCTTATTGGAATGTGAGAGAAAAAAACGTGGTCCCTCATGAGTTGGTTAATCCGGCTCTTGGTACTCAGTGCACAGCAGACTACATGCAGTGGTTTCAAAGAAGGACTGTCAGATTTATCACTAATCCCACCCAATATGGCACCCTGGCACAGGGTTATCACTCGTCTATCTCGGGAGAGATTTTATGTAAGATTTATGTCGTATTTTAATTTAAAATTTCTTTTACTTTTTTTTTTCCTTGCTATATCTTATACTTTATTAACATGGTTCAAATTTTTGCAGGCTGAAAATCTTAGCGATGTATATCATCTCGCTGAATCTACCTTACGGGCAAATCCTGGTCTTGGTGGTAGTTTTGAGGAAATACTCTTGGAAATTGTTGATAAGAGTTTCAGTGCCCTGACTTTGGCCCCAAATGATATGAGTTCTCAGAGAGATAGTGAGGTTCTTATGAAAAGACCACTGGAGTCAAGTGAACATATTGTGCTCACGCAGAAAACAGTATCTCAGCCAACCTGGAGGTGGAAGGAGGAGGCGACAATCGGAAATTCGAAATCGAAGATTGATAGTCCATCCCAATCCGTCTTCGATGCAAGAAGATGATGGAGAACATCAAAGCGATAAAGATTATTATATTGGGGGTGAGGAAGAAGAAGGAGGAGAAGAAGAAGAGTCCCCTCTACCTCGTGTTTCTTCCCAAAAGAAAAAGAAAACGGCCGAGGTTCGCAAGAGTGATAGGGTGGGTAAACCGGCCAACAAGTTTACTCCCGGTTCTATTAGGGGTAGAGGAAAGAAAAGGCTGTCCAAGTAGTTTCATTGTAGGACTCTTTTGATGTGTATTAGGAGTAATTTGGATGTTTTTATGATATTGAACTCGTTAATGTTTATTAGTTGTAATTTGGATGATTTGGGAATTTTAATGTTTTTAAACTAGTTAATGTTTGTTACGATGTGTTTCGAATGTGTTTTTAGATAATTTCCTGTGTGAAATTTGGTTTGGTGTTGTTGTGATAGGTTGGAATTGGTTTAAAAACCAATCCTTTCTTTTTTTCTAAGTTTGTCTAAGATCGGATTTCTTTTTTTTTTAACTAACCCAGATTTTCAAAATCCGATTTTAACTAACCCGGATTTCAGGAATCCGACCTTCTTACTGTTCAACAGTAAATCTGATTTCTGAAATCCGACCTTGGTCAAAATTTTGATTTCGTAAAAAATCTAAGTATTTTTCTTTAAAATATTATTTTTTTAATATGTCAAGATCGGATTTTAAAAATCCGACCTTCTGTTAATCTTGATTAATGTAATTAATTTTTTGTATTACTGAAAATTCAGATTTTACAAATCCGACTATGGTTTTGTTTTTGTTTAATTATCTGCGATTTTTTTGGCAGAATAACAACTTGCAATAAGGGCTCTGCCTCTTGATACAGTTATATAACTGGTAATCAACTCCAGTTGTGTGGAGGAAGATGATGATTATTATTTAATTATAGTAATATTAGGATTATTATTGTTTGTTTACTTCAAACAATATGCTAATGAAACGCCATTTTTTAAAAAATTTTCCTAGGCTTTTATTGGAATTTAGTCATCTTTTTGCGACTACAAGAATGTCTACATTTAACCAACAATAAGAATGAAAAAGATCGTACTCCCCGTTGAAGAGTATGAAGCATGTTTAAATATTAATTTGTTGTAATTGTTTATTTTTATCATATATTTCAGTGATGTGGCATTAATGATCTTCCTGGCCCTTCAAAAAATTTTGTCGATAATGGCGTATTTCATTTGCTTTGCTTTGCTTATATAAAAAACTAAAATCAATTAAAAAAAGTTTAGAACTAATATAGATCGCATAACACGCAGGACGAAATCAAAATGCCTTATAATAAGAACCCGAGAGAATATAACATGTAAAACAAACTGATGAGTTGAGTCATTACAGATGTAGCCGCTTTTGATAATTACTGATTTTCGAATTCGCCACGGGGAAGATTACCACTATGCGAGCTCCATGAATCAGAATTGATATAGGTATACTATACAGTAGAATGGACTACCATTTGCACCGTATATTTAGCACCGTCTTTCAGTCTTTCAGATTCCATCTCAAGATTGATTAGTCTCCGCATGTTATTCCATCAAAGAAAAAGCGTCTAAAATATTGACCATTGATCAAAACGAAGGATAAAAGAAATGCGGAGACACCACTTTTAAGAAAAAGAATGTCCGGTCTTCACCTCTTGAGAAATGGTAATTACCCGTCAATCCGCCATTCTAGACAATGGGAGGCAAAAGTGTACACAGTAGTTTTATGTATCATTTTCCGACATACTACAAAACGTGGTTTCAGCTAGCTTTTTAGTAAACTAATTTCCACCATGAAAAGGTTGATGACTTGGAAAGCAATTTGAAGTTGAAAAATAATACTCCGAAATACATAGATCATGGCGCAATTCACACGAAATCCACACTAAAATCTCCAGCATCCTTCATTAAAAAAATTAAATACATTTTTAGAAGTAAAATGAAAAAAAAAAATTCTAAATGTATGTGCTCGGATTTTAACTAATTCATATGTTATACGGAAAAGATCACTCATTTCTACATTTGACCCTACTTTCTTCTCATTTTAGTGCGGCAATAACATTTACTACTTCTGTCTTCAAATTAGTATCTAGTTTAGATTTTTAATTTTAATTCAAATTATAGTAAAAGTGAAATCTCACACTAAATAATAATTTTAGTACTGGATCTTAAAGAAATACTCCCCCTGTCCCAAAATTATTGCGCAGCTTGATATTTCATTTTTAGTACAATTTAAAGTAGAAATAAAAATCCAAACTGAATAATAATTATGGAACGAAGGGAATAATAAATTTCTCCACTAATAGCCAAAGGGGGGGTTTCTACAAAATTGAGTAATTGCCCCCACCAAGCAATAATGTAGCTCCGCCGCAGACCAAGGTGTCCAAGATAGGGAAGTATGGAACTGAAAAGTGACAAAAACTTCACCCCACCTGTATGATTGAGGATGTTAAACTTAAACCTAAATGGAGTACCAAGGTAGTGAACTGACAAAATAATTGACGATTCACATTATGTCCAAATTGATCGACCACAAACTTTGTGTCGTATTGATGAAATAAACCAAATATTTGTACAATATGGACGCAAAGTGCCCAAGTACATAAGAGGAAAAAATGGCGGGATTGCCTGCCGACATTTTGCTTCAAAAGGCCAACGATTGCAAAGAAACTGCATTTATGTGAATTCTAACAATCAATTCAGTATATACTTTCCAACCACACAGTTGATAACATCTAATAATAATGCTTCATCTAACAGTTTAGCAAAATGTTTACTACATATGGTAATTTTTGCAAATTCACCATCTTCTAGGACCCAAAAATCCCTTTGGCCAGTTTCAATCCGAAAACGAACCATCAAGACTTTGCACCTTTGCGGTTGAAACACTTGAAAACAAAACAACCGCACCGACATTTTAGTACATCTGAAACTGTTCATCGTGTACTAATGACGCCCCTTTCCGTACTTCAAACTAATCCCTCAGGTTCATTCTCATCGCCGGGGAAGTCAAACGGCAACGGCGAAATCGACCCGCTTCGCAAATCCGGATGCCAGAATCCAAAACTCCGAAGAACTTGATTATCAGCGAAATTCAGAGCCTTTTCCATTCCAACCCAACAATCATCCCCTTTGTAAGCCTCATTGGACTTCCCACTGCACGGCTGACACCCCGTGAAGTGAGTAATAAACGGCCGCCGTGACCCACCAGAATCTCCCAAAACCTCCTCCCACATCTTCCCATAGCTCTCTCTCACAACCTCCGCGTGTCTCCTCCTCAAATTCGCCGTCTTCTTCTCGATTTTCTCGTACAGAACCGATGCATTATCGAGTTTGGCCAAGGTTTCGACCCAGTATCCATGCAAATAATATTCATTTTCCACATACATCATATCCCCCCATTTCTTCTTTTCTTTCAGAAGCAAATAAACCAATGTCGATTGATCGTCTGATTCCGGGAACATCTTGTCGGAAAGAGTGGACCGTAATATTTGACCCGATTTCTCGTAATCCGGGTTCTGAGGACCCATTCTTCCCCAGACATCCAGGAATTCCATGGACCATTGACAATTCCTGATCAAGAAAATCCCGGCATTCACGGCGACCCAGCTTCTCTTCTCGTAAATCATATCAGGCCAACCATGAACCACGAAGTTATGGTGCTTGTACCTTTCCAGCGGAACCTTGAAATCCATGTCGGTGAAGATGGCGTCGGAGTCGACCCACATGATCCATTCGGATTCCGGGTGGGCTAACATCGCCGCCCGAACCAACGGGATCTTGGCCCAGTAAGACTTCATCTTCGGGTTGAACAACGAGTTGGCGTAGAAGATTCCGTGGCCGTGGATCCGGGCGTAATCGACCTTGTTCTTGAAGGTCCTCAGGAGCAAATGGTCGCCGGCGGGGAACTTGCACGGAGACGGCTGGGATCCGGTGAGGATGAGTGTCCTGTTTCGGGCACCCGGGATGAAAGTCGGGTGTAATCTCAGCCACTCTTTCCTCTTGGCGTCCCAATCCTTAATGGGGTTGTCTAAAGTGTAGGTAAGCTCAGGATCATCGTAAAACGTTGTTTCTGGAGGGTCGTTTTCCCGGTCAACCAAGATGGATTTGTCGGCGGGTGAGCAGTCTGTCGGTATAAAGTTTGACAAGCCGGAAAAGGGTTCCCCGAATGACCAAATAACAAAGAAAAGCACAAACACTGTAACTAAACCGGCAATAAACCAAGATTTATCCCTGTAGAATGACGTCGGTCGACTGTTATGGGTTTTGGTTTTGTACATGGCTGCTATGCTACTAAAGCTTTTGAGTGCTGTTTTTTGGAGTGATAGATGGAAAAGTCGAGCACTGGAAGCTCTTTCACTTTAGCTTTATCTCATTTATTGCCTTCAGGCAATCAGGCTTTTTTTTTCTTTTTTAACAAATCATTCTAGGTGGGAAGATCTTATTGGTTTGATAACGGATTCTCTGAATCATGCCTTATCCGACCTTCTTTTTTTACTTTTGTTATTTTCACTGTGGTGGTTAAATTTTAACTTCAATTTTTAACTCTTACCTCCAATTTTTTTTTTCTCTTTTCTTTATTGGGCTTTTAAGTTGGTTAATTTGTTATCTTTATTTTTTTTGTTACAACGGCCCCATTGGGAGAAGGTTAAACCTAAATTATACTCTTTCCGGCCATAAAAATAGTCCAATTTTAAAATGTATAGCTTTTTAATTCTGGTCAACTCTATCTGAGGTACAACTCATGTTAGTCTAATAATTTCCAACTCTACCCCTGTAATATCCCGACAGTAGCTCCCTTACATTCGAAACCCCCGAAATCTTTTTATCTCGTCGGCGGACAAATCTCAAGCGGATTGTTATCATCTAGTAAATATGAAATCGACTCTGCCTTTTTCTCGCCGGAGGTTAAATCACAGCCAGATTTTTATTATCATCATCTAATCACCAAAGCACTTCATGAAAAGAAAATCGAGAGATCAAATAATAAATCATTTGTCATCGGAGTATATCAAATCATCAAATTCGGTCGGATTGGCGTTGCCATCGGAGCGGGAGTCAGTCAAGGTCGCAGCTTTAATGGAGTCCAAGAAACCATAAGATCCGATGAGAAGATGGGATCTCAAATCTAAGTCTGAACGCGTGAATCGGAGATCTTAATTTGAAGAAAAAGAAGTGGCACACTGATGGAGTTGGGCACGAGATGAGATCAAGTCTTGAAATCAGTCGATGATAAAACATGGTACTGGAAGTGAAGGACGTGGTGGCGGCGGCGGTGTGGGGGGCAGGGGGGATCGAGAGAATTGGTGAAGAGGATGATTCGTGAAGGTGGAGCCAATTTGGTGAAGATGATGGGAGGCAGCGTAATAATGTTAAATGTTAGGGATGCTATAGTCATTTTGATTGTATTTTATTTTGACTTTTTAAAACTGAATTATTTTTGTCGGATAAAATTATGTATTAAGCTGAATTATTTTTGTAGGACAGAAGGAGTAGAAATCAAAATATGACGTTGATACACGAATACCAACAACGTTTTGTTTCAACCACTACAAATACCCACCAAGCTAACCATACAATGTTGAAACCTTTCTAGACTCTTTTATAATAAGGTTAATCAAGTAACCTACAATAAAATTAATCTCTCTAAACACATAATTCAAACCAATGCCTGATTCTGTTTAAAAACCCTCACATCCTCCAAACAATACTTCCATGAATTCTCAGCTCGTCTTCTTCAGTCTAATCCCCAAACCGAACTAAATCCTTAAAACAAATTCCACAATTCTGCATAACTAATAAGTCAAAAGTTAATATTCACAATAACTGTTGGTAAAAATTATGTAGGGTAGATGTGATGAATAATAACAAGTTAGGTGTAGGAGAGAAAAAAATCTGAGACACGTGGTAACTACACTATCTTTAAAATAATTTAACCTTCTCATAATTGTGCCAAATATTTCATAGACTATTATTTCCTAGGATACAACGGATCATACCATGAAGATTACTTTGCACAAAGCAACTTCACATTCAAATTGGAACTAGAAAATACAATGAACACTAAGGAAATATTAGAAAGGAAACTGGAATGAGGGTTGGCTTTTTTTAGGTTGTTGAAGACTAGAAAACAAGAAAATACTTCTAGAATGGAGAGTCTTTTCCATTGCCACAATAATTTCTATCAATTAGTATGATTAAAGACAAGAAACTGTTTTGCTTTAATTGAAATGAAAATAAAATTTCAAGGCCATTTAATTGGAATGAAATTACAAAACATATTTCAGTTTTGATGTAATAACTCTCCATTAAGGTCGATTTGAAAATCAACATCACTAACAGAATGCGAGTTGATCATGTCCGCAAGTTACGACTCAGCATTCGTGTGTGTAGACCGCATCTATGAATGAGTCAATCAATTTCACATTCAAATTTCCAATCTAATGAGAATCAATCTTTCACTCAAAATATTTAGCTTATTTCTAAAAGTAAAACCCTCCACCATTTGCCCATGGAGATCTCAAATTACACACCATCTTTATAAAAACAATGAGAAACATGAATGCCCCTACCCTAACATGTAAAAAATCGACCGATGTCTATAACTATTGTGAGAGTAATACGACATTTATTACGAGTATTATTAAAAGATGTTATGTTAAAGTCTTTGTCTCATTGCACCATATATTCTTAATGGGTTCAATAACTATAGTAAACACTATGAAGTACAATAAAGTTTCACTAACTTGATACTCTATAAATTAAGAATTTATATTAGTTAGTTATTTTTTCGGGTCCCATCTAGTATAAATGAATATAATATAGTATAATAATAATTTTCAAGTAACCATCTTCGTAAATGTAGGTTATGTCATTATTCATGATCATAAAATAAGTAATAATTATAATAATTACTTGAAAACCAAAATTATAAGCAAGAAAATTTGGTAAAAATGTGAATTTAGTGATGTTTATCATTTCTTGAAATTATTATATGCAACTCACATGTTGGAAAAGGATATTTACTAATCCAAGTCCAACTCTTGAAAACGCATTTTTGGTTGTGGTAATTACTTTGAGTTTCGTTCAGTTCCCTTTTTCTTTAGTATCATCGTGTTAGCTTCCAGCAGAACAATGTTTGGAAGCAATGGCACAAGATATGCAACTTTCATTAACACAAGTGAATATACCAACTTCTCTTATTGCTGCGAGGCCTCTCAAAATTATAGCACCAAAATCTCTGTATATGCCTAAGATTTTAACTTGGGGATCGACTTCAACTATCTTGGAATAGAAGACGACCATGGACAAGTATGAAGGATTCCAAAACTATCAGAGACTATTCCGACAAATTGAAGGTAATTGTAAACAAGAAATACGTATACTTGGTAAGGAATTTCACAATAATCGGGCCGCACAAAGAAATATTCTGAGCTGGCCTGAAAAGCAGAGTCTAAGAATATTATGATCTTATCATCATAAGATAGGCTTATGAGCTACAGTCTCTTAAAAATAATGTTTGTTTGAGGGAAAAATCAAAGAAGCTGGAGTTTTGTGCAAAGGAGGGGCAATATGAAGAGTTGTCAAAGAAAAGGGGTTTGATATGCTGCAGAGGTACAATATCTCTCACTTTTTCCACCATTTCTTCTCCGGCTTATAGTCTCTCTGTCCCATAATTATTAACCAGTTTATATATTTACTTTTAGTATAAATATGATTTGGACAGTAATTTTGGAACGGATCGAGGGAGTGAGGGAGTACTAAGAAAGTGAATAGTATAAATATGATTTGGACAGTAATTTTGGAACGGATCGAGGGAGTGAGGGAGTACTAAGAAAGTGAATATTAATTGTCTTTTGATTTGGTGTGAATCTTATGCAGGAACTATAGAAGCCCATGGGGTTCCACCTCAAAACCAATTGGCAATGAGGGGAGTAGCCCATGGTGCTTATATGCTGATACAAAGTATCTCTAGACACCAATGTGGGATAAATACTTCAACAGGAACTCAAGGGATGAGCAACGACAATTAAGAAATCAATCCACACACTATTAATTCTGCTAAGAATACACTCTTTCCCTCTCAGAAAAATAATTTACTTGCTACATCTTGAAATTATTGTTCAATTTGAACTTTTATTTTTATTATAAATTGAATTAAAAATAAAAATTTAAACTGGATCAAAATTTTGGGAAAGAAGGAGTACTTTTTATAAGGGACAGAGGAAGTATATAAAACCCTATAATAGTTGGCAGGTCTAGCTTATATGTAATGATTACGTAAATCACCAAACGAAAAAACATGCTTCTTACCGATTCGTAAAAGGTTTTATGAAGTAAAAAAGGCACTTGGACAAAAAATTTATAAAAGACTTTCTTTTTTTCTGGGTTAAATAGTAAAAAAAATTTGGATTAGAATTTTCTAAGAACATTTGTTTTAGATAAAAAAAATTAAAATATTTAGGATCTAAGAGAATTTTCTCAGCTTCTCTAATCTCAACATATATTCAATATTTAGGATTATTGGGTAGTTCGGGCATGTTATTCAGTACGTGGATTATGAACTTTGGTGGTTTCATCAAATCTCAACACTTGATAGTCCCTCAGTTACGGGTTTATGAATTTGATCTAAAGAGTTTCTTTGTGATTGGAAGGCATGAGTAGTTTAACTTTTTTTTAAAAAAAAAAAAAACTAGAAATAAGAAAATCACACGTTGTAATTGGGCCATGGGATATTGTGTCATGATGCTTTGCAAGGATAACGAAGCTTTCCTTTAGATCTCTCATCCTTCGGTGATTGGAGAAGAAAAGTTGAAAAGAATGAGATAAATAATAAGAAAAAGTGAGATAAATACTTAAAAATTATACATAAGGGTACTGTTCCTTGTCACAATGATACCGAATATCTCATTTCTAGTAAACTGGATTTTATTCTTGCTTCTGCTAATGATTTAAGGAAATTCATATCTCTTGGCCGAAAAACTCTAATACCCAAACTACTATTATTCTTTCCTTCTTTAATGTTTCAGATATTTATTTAGTTTAATCTTTTGAAATAAAGACGAATTCGCTTTGCACCTGTTATCACATCTAACATTTGTTCTTTTGCATCCGCTACAATCCCAGTTAACTCAGAGATACAGTAATTTTTTTTTTAATTAATAATTTTTGGACCATAAAAATTTATTAATTCTTTTTCTTTGGATAATACCGGGAATTCCACCAGAGATGGGTAAATCCACGCCTACTGCAATACCCTGCAAACTCTTGTGGGAGTTAAACCACCCGAGGCAAACCCTGAGTAATAGGCTCGGGCAGAAATTGTGAGATTTATTTGTTGGTTTGCCATAATCGATAAATTAATAAAGTTATCAATTTAAATAATTTTGTTAAAGTTATTAGTTTATGTAATTTTCAATTAGTACAATCAGAATTAATTAGGTTTTGCAACTCTTCTTAATACTAATACTCATATATAGTTTACAGACTAAGAAGCAAGCGTTATTAGTTCCACATTTTATTAAATAATCAAAATTATATTTTTATTTTTATTTATGCAATATATTAATTATTTTTTCATTGGGACCTATAATTATATACAGGATTTTATGAAAGGAAAATGATACTATGCGCGGAAACTTAACTCAAACCCATGATGCGAATGACCTTTCTTTCCAACTTGTCTAGGGTTGGCAATTCGTGTCGGGTTCGGGTTGGCAGGTCGGGTCGAACCCGAACCCAGAAAAATTTAGGCAACTCGAACCCGACCTGAATAAATATACAGGTCACATATTAGAACCCTAATCCGACCTGAAAATATCGGGTTACCTGTGACCCGACCTGTTAACCCATAAAATATATTATATTGTATTGTTTTTAAGAAAAAAAATGTTAGTTTCATTCTTCCTGAATGATTGGCTGCTTAACCAAAATGGAAAAATTCACATACAAAATTAGAAGTTTGATCTCTCGCATAAAATGAAGCAACCACACCTCCAGAAGGGAAAAAAAATCACCAAAAACAGCTCCAAAAACCATCCGTTGCAACAATTGAAAAGAAAACCATATTTCACTGAATTAACTATATATGGTATATAAATGTACAAATAGTTCGACATCCGGCAGCCGAACGGGAAGGGAAAAAGAAAGAAAAATTGGCAAAAAAAGAGGCCAAAATATTAAACTAAAAAATGGAAATGCTGGCTGGATAGTCTTTGAGCTGTACGCTGACGTAACTCCTCGAACCACAGAAAACATCCGGGCACTCTGCACCGGCGAGAAAGGCGTCGGCCGTAGAGGCAAGCCCCTGCACTACAAGGGATCAATCTTCAACCGGGGATTGCAAGCCTTTGGGGCCAACTTTCTTAGATCTGGGTTTTCTTCAGGGCTAATTCCGGTGGTCTAAAATCTAAAATCTATGTAACAATCAGGTTGTTGTTTTGAAATTTCTCACTTCATGTGCCAAAAAAAGCGAGAGAGAACGAATCTAAAGAAGAAAAGAGGAAACTGATTTGGGTGCTTTGGCTCGGCCGCCACAAAGTAGAGAATGAAATAAAAAAATGAATCTATGATATATATATATATATATATATATATAGCCTTAAAGAGATTAGGGTTACTAATGTCTAAAACTCCCAAAGTACCCCTATAAAACATATAAATTACATGTAAATGGGTAACCCTAGTAACCCGGCGGATTGACCCTAACCCGACCCGTATAATAAACGGGTCCAAATTCCCAACCCTAACCCAACCTATTTATTATACGGTTGTGTTCGTGTCGGGTTATATCGTGTCGGGTTCGTGTCGAAATTCCGAGTCGTGTCGGAGATTGCCAGCCCTAAACTTGTCCCTCCTCGTTAGCTTTTTAATTTTTTATTATTTTATCAAAATAAATTAAATAAAAAGAAAAACCCGCTTATAGAAAATAATAATAATACAAAAGCTCTCTCGCCTGAAAGTCCGAAACTCTCAGCTTTGCTGCGGCAAATCAGCCATTGGATCGATCCTCCGTTTTTCTGCCTGAAATTTTTTTTTTCCGCCACTCAGCCATTGGATGGATTCAGATGCATTAAAAAAATATTTTGCAAGAGCTAGAATGTTTCCAGCTGCAGAATTCATGGCTTAAGCTTCGTTCATCTCCTCTACTTTCTTGAAATCTAAAATTAAATTCACAGCTTGTATCATGAAAAAAGATTTGCAGAAGCGAGGAAGGGGATTGTCTGATTCAGTTGGGCATTTGAAAGTCAACTTTAGCAGACTGTTATTAAAGATTGAGCAATTTATTACTGATTAGAAGAATTTCAGCGTAAGATGGAGAATCGAACGAGATTGAATTAGCCGGAGATGGTGAAATACTGAAATTTCTTATAAAGGTGTGGGTTTAATTTTAATTTGTTTTAATAAAATAAAAAAAATAAAAAGCTGACAAGGAGCGGATAAGTCGGGAGGACAGATCATTCGCGTACGGATTTCGAGTTGAGCTTTCGCACAGTGTATCACTACTCTTTATAAAATATAATTATCTTATTATTTAATTGATTTTAGTCTTTTTTTTACTGGTCCCAAGTTGAGACAGAAAAAATTTATTAACTACTCAAAGTTACTAATTTATTATTTATTAATTTATCGATGTTTTATTGTAATTATTAAAAGTTGGCTCTCAAAATTTAAAAATTCCTCTTGATATATTATTTGCCTTGTAATTTTCCCAAAACAGAAAATTGGTGAAGAAGTTTTGTCCCATAAATGCTTTCTCATTGGGAGAAAGAGAAGGTTCAACATTGAATGTGCTCCGAATTGACTGCAAATTTTGTATTTAATCATTTTCCATTATTAAAATAGTTTAATTAATAGATACGAATCCATATTCTGTAGAATGATAGGTCTTATCAGTTAGTTTATATTGTATATATGAATCCAAATAAGGAAGAAAAAAGTGAACAGTTAAAAATCATAATCTAAAAAACGTCTCATCTTCTTATAGAAAATATATATTGGAACTTACTCAATCAAAAATTTCATGTAGGAAACTAAAAAGATGAAAAAGAATGAACTCTGATAATCCGTCATGGTAAACAAGATTGGTACCTCGAAATAATTGTATCGTCATAATGAGAATTTTTTAAAGAGAATTTGTATATATTGGATTGGTAATTGCTATTAAAAAAATAGAAATGTATATATATTTTCATTCAAAAACAAAAATGATTCATCATGTCGCTGAGGTAGAAAGATACTTGAACAAACAAAGAAAAGAAAAAAAAAAGAAGGTAACAATAACACAACTTTAATTAATAAAACCAGAACAAATTCCTTCATCTTAAAGATGATAAGGTATTACACAACAAGACTAACCAAAAAAAATAAAAATACTTAAAATGCGCTTCCGAGAAACCCTTGCAACTTGCAACAACATCCAAGGGTATAAGACACCAATCATACGAAAACTAAGTGAATTCGTAGAAACTCTAGAATTTATTCGGATTTTCATAAATATCCATCTGGTGAATTCCATTAACCAGTTGCATTTGGATCAACACAAGGAAAGGATAAATTACCAGTTGCATTTTGGCATCCTTTTTGTGCTTGAATCTGAACTCTTTTGTCCAGCTCCTCATAAGCAGTTTTTAGCTGCTCGAGCTGTTCCACACTGAGCTCTTCAATAGGAGCTTGCCACCAATACTGATTCTGACTAGCTCTTACCATCTGTGCAAGTTCACTACTCCTTTTCTTCACAACGTCCATGCGATCTTCCAGTGTCCTCAGTTCTTCATTGAGGCTAATTTCGTTAGCCCCGCGACGTGCCTGGTTCGCCTTGTCGATTGAGCCCTGAGATCCAATGAAATCTTGCGCTTGAGTCTCATACTTCTGTAAGACCTGGCTAACACTCGGGGAGCCAAAAGAGTAAACTTTGCTCCCTGGAGAAAAGACCACAATAGCAAGCTCTGACCCAGTTAGGGTACAAAGTTCGCTTGCTTTTTTGAACAAACCTACACGACGTTTGGAGAACGTGACCTGCAGGTTGTTTTTATTGGTCATTTTAACCATATCTACCCTCTTGCGACCCTGGCTCATTTTCCCAGAAACCATTTTTTACTAACAAAAATATAGTTTATGAAACTGTAAAGAGGTTGATGGTATGCTTGACGAATGAAGAAGAAAAGATTGGATTTTATAGATGGTTGAAGTTTACGCGAAGGCTGTAAAAGTCAAACTTGTAATCAATCAAGCGTATCAAATTCATTTAAAAGAAATTATATTAAATTAGTACATTTTAGGGGGTGCGAATCTATATACTAGGAAAATTACGTCAATTAGATAGTGTATTGACTTAGCTACCTAGTTTTGATTGATTTTCCAACCTGTAATAGTCAAAACATAACATTTAGGGAGTATGAACTTTTTAGAATGAAATGATTTAGAAAATTATATGAAATGAATTAACCATGGCATGAAATGCAATTTCAATTTTTTTTTTATAACATAAGAAAATTTTGAGATTTTCTTTTTTTAATCTTTTTTTTTTCTTTTGTATCTAGTCATTCTTGCAGCCGTTTTATTTTATGAATGTAATATCCCACTTACTTAAATTTACTTTGTAATTTTTCTTTGATGGGTTATCGTTTTTGTAACTGTTAGGAGTTTAGTTGAATTAATTTGACTTAATATTAGAGGTTGACTAATTGGACATCAATATAAAAAACTTATATAACATACTTATACGGCCATACTAGTTCATTATAACTAATTAGGAAAAAATACAATGAATTAAAAGAAGGAAAAAATGGTGCTTATACCCATAACTTTGGCCCATCGTCAATTTTACCCTATTAATATTTGGTTAGCCAATTTTGTCCTTACTGTTTGAAATTTTTGTCAATTTCGTTCAATTGGTCCAATTTTCATTAACCTTAATAGATTTCCGTTAGTTTCTTAACAAAAACACCCCAATATTTTCAAAAAATTATAAAAATAAGGTCTAAAATATGTAAAAATAACGAACTAATTTCTTTTCACTTTTTATTCATTTTTTTCTATTTCATTTTATTTCTCTTTACTACTTTTTCATAACCATCAAAGTATACTATATGATTTTTTAAAAAATAATTATTTATTTTCAAACTCTATTTTTTATGTGCAAAACATGTGAGTTGGGTCCAAGAGTAAATTTCATCATTTTATATTTTCTAAAATTTTTCAAGTTTAATTTTTTCATTGTTTTTTCACGATTATTTTTCTTATACTTCCTGACTTGTATATTGTTCTACTAATACAATTTCTAAATTTCAATAATTATTTTACCTTTTTTATTTCATAGATTATAAAAAAAAAATAAAAAGTAAAGAAAATGAGGAGGAAGAGTCAAGCTGAAATAAACATGAAACTTAATAATTCATCATTCTAAATATAAACAAGAGAATAAGACACCTAAAAATTTGCTCAGATAAGTCTTTCCTCCTTGACTTCTTGAAATTCATAGGTAAGTTACGAAATATAAATTTTACTCAAATTAGCTTAAAATGATTATTTTAATCGTTGTAATAAAAATAATTAAAAAAATTAGAAAATCATTTGAAATAGGAAAAAGTGCTAATTTAATTGGTCCACAATGATGAATTTTTGTAAGTCTGGTTAACACTATTTTTATTCTTTTTTAGTAATTATTATTGTTACTTTGTCATGGTTAAATTATATAAACAATCATTGAATTTCATGACAAAGATAAATAGGTGTATTCATTAACAATGTATTTTTTAAATATATTTTAAACCTCGAAGTTGAAATATAAAAGGGTAAATTATTTCTTGAAATTTAAATTGTTTTAAAAAAAAAATTGTAAGGGAGTACAAGAAGAAAATCGTTAAAAAAATTAATTCTTTTTAAAATTTTTAAAAAGATAAAATAACGAAATAATCACTGGATCCAGCTCACATGTGTTGGACATGAAAAATAGAGTTTGAAAGTAAATAATTATTTTTAAAAGATTATATAGTAATATTTTGATAATTATGAAAAATAGTAAAGAGAAATAAAATAAAATAGAGAAAAATGAATTAAAAGTGCAAAGGGATTATTTCATTATTTTTACATAGGGGTTTATTTTCATAACTTTTTGAAACTATTTTGGTGTTTTTGTTAAGAAACTAACAGAATTCCATTAAGTTTAACGAAAAATGAGCCAACTGGACGAAATTGGCAAAAATTCAAACATTAAAGACAAAATTGGCCACCAAAATCAATAGGGTAGAATTGACAATGAGACCGAAAATTTGGGTATAAGCGCCATTTTTTCCATTAAAAGAATGTGTCACATTTCAAAAAGATGACGATTTTATCTTGCTTGTGACAAGGAATTGTGAAAACTTTTTTTTTTTTTTTGTGTTCCAAGTGATTTGCACTCAAACTAATCCACACTGAGTCGGGAAGGTTTCCTTTCGGAGGGCGTGACAAGGAATTGTGATTCTAGAATGAGCAATTTCGTGATGAATGTATAGAACAACAATACATTTTACTCATGTTTAGGTTCATATTTCACATTTAGTGGATAGTTTTCAAACAACAAGCAAAAATAAACATGCAACAAAAGAATAAACAACTACAATCAACACAACAAAATTGAGAAACTTGTACTAATTTTACAATTAATCATGTTCTGATTTATATGTAATTCAGTAACTCAAACTCGAAGTTAAGAAACTTTGGCCTATATATATGGAAAAGTAAGAAAATTAGGTCAATATATATTTAACAGTAAAACTAACTACTTTTTATGTATTTTATCTACGAGATGGTACATATACTTCCATGATTTTCTTATATTGAAACACGATGTGGAGTCACTTGGACATGTTTAAACTTAGTTTAATATGTTATTAGAACACGATATGGAATTTTTCCAATCTTTGTTTACAAAAAGTTAGAAGATTAGATTGAGACTAATATTTGACCATTTATCCTAACGGTTGAGTTTAAGTTATTGGGTTTATCTTGTGCTATATTTATGTGCATGATTCATCACAACTCATATACTGTTAGCTTTCCTTGGAATATCAATTTTTGGGGAAAATTATTATTTTTTATATTTTTGGTATACAACGTGAAACTGAAAGTGTCAGATACAATTACAGAGATACAACCCGTCATTAGTTCTTTGAATCATGCCTTAATAGACCTTCTTTTTTACTTTTTTTTTTCATCGTGGTGATTAAATTTAGATTAAAATTTTAACTCTCCCCCCTCCTTTTCTCCCATGTCTCTCATTTTCTTCCTTTTTTTATTGGGCTTTTTAGTATGTTTATTAAATATCCATTGATATTATTTTTCGAGACAATGAGAGAGGTCTAAAGTCCAAACCTAAATCATGAAAATTAAAATAAGTTGATCGAAAAGCTCTAACAATGTCATTTTTCAACCACTGCCAAACACCACCGAGTGAAACTATACAACATTAAAACCCTTCCCAACTATTTTGTGATAAAGTTAGTCAAGTAATCTACAGTAAAATTAACCTTCTTGAACACATAATTCAAAACATTTCTTTAAAACTCCCATATCCTCCAAACAAGGCTTCAATGAATTTTCAGCTCTTCATCTTCAGCATTGCACAATAACCAACACATTTTGATTATCTACGGTATCAACCGCTACTATTATAAACAGATGCCAACCCAATTCCCCAAGCTGAACTAAACCCGTAAAACAAATTCCACAGTTCTGTATCATTACTAATTCAAAACTTTATTGTACTTAAAGCCCGAGCACACGACATTTAGGGCCTATTTGATAAAAATTAATACTTAATTCTGAAAATTTAATACTGAATAAGAAATATTGAATTTATTAAGCACTTGCAGAATAAGTAATGATCTAACTTTTATTACTTATATTTTGTATTGCAGTTTCAGAACCACCTAATTCATTACGAGGTTCTTTTTTTGGTTAACAAACATGCTTAATTGAAAAATTATTTAATGAAATAATTTGAAGTATCAAGTGGTGTTATAAACAGGCCCTTAATCCTTTTCCAAAATAGGATAACAAAGCTCAAAAATTTTTTGGGCCAAGACACAGGCTATGGACTGGATTCATACTTTGTAAAATAATCTGAGCCTGGTAATTCTATTTCTCATCCTTTCCTTTTTAACTCTTGAAGTTGAAGCATTCAGATTCTTCATTTTTTTTTTTTTGATCATCAATTCTTCATTCTAGAGTTTGAACTTGTAAACGTATGATAGTTTAGGGTGTCCTGATATTTATGTGTTTCCTTGTGACCCAATTTTTAGTAGGATTCAGTACATTACTATTTGAGCATTATTTCTTAGTCGGGGTTTGTTTTGGATAATTAATCTTAATATATATTTAGGGTAGCTGAGCTAGCAATGGAAAAATGAGAATCTAACGAACCATAAAAATAAAGAAACAAACTGATTGAATGAAGAAATCACTCGACTAAATAGGAACTAAGTTGTACTTTGTTTAATCTAATTCACCACTCTTAAAACTATCATAAAATCATCTATTTATAAGCTATTACATACCCTTTGTAGGGTTTGATGATGATGACAAATATGATCGATAATTACACCAGTTTCTTTTCATGATCTAATTGTAATGCTGATTCGCAACTTCTCTGTTCCTTCAAGAGTGGATCTTGAGTTTGCTTGTTATTAACGCATCAATCCATTGTGGTGAAGTAGCGATAACACAAGACCAAATTACTCATTAACCACCTTGTTTACAAACACGTTTCTATTTATTCGAGTATGATCGACTTTATCTCTCCAATCACCCTTATGACTCCTCATACTCAAGGAAGTAGTATTAGACTCATCTTGTGAGTCATTATCTTTAACATCTCCATGCAAATTGTGCCATGGGCGGAGGTGCAGTTTGGTAAGAGGAAAGGGGAGTGAAGTCTTAGCAACAGGTTTAGTAAAAATGTCGACAACCTACTGATTGGTGAAAACGTGTTTGGTAACAAGGAGGCTAAGAGCAACTCGTTCTTGGAAAAAGTGACAATTTAGCTCAACATGTTTGTTTCGAGAACGAAAGACCGGATAAATGGTCATATAAAGGGCACTCAAATTGCC